ATATCCGAATCCTTAAAGTAATAGCAAGATATGTTATTAGTGTAACAACATAACATGTTAAGAACCCGAGGGTTAAAGTAAAGAAAAAAAAATTTACCCGCATATGAACGTAAATTAAAGAGACAATAGTCTAACAACAAATAATGGATTAGACTACAACTTAGCCTATTAGTAGTAGTATAAGGAACGGTGACCGCGCCGCGAGGGCGCGGGCCGTCATACCCTGCCAGCCAAGGCCTTTGAGAAGCATGTCGAGGCTATGGGGATGCGTAGCATGTCACATTTACTCACTTAAGTGCATGTGGAATATTGTTAGCGTTTATGCCCTTAGGAATAAATGTAACAATGTTCTTTGAGACATTTTGACTATTAATAAAGTGTGATGTTTGGTAAGGGGATTCGTACCTTGATTCGAATCATGGTTCATGGTTCGCTACAGTGTTTTCTCTCACAAAAAATACACGTAAATTGAAAATGGTTCTAATCTCATGATTCTAATCCATGAACCAAACGTCAACTTATTTATTTCATATATTAGTTAAGTGTATGATAAGCAAATCGAAAGTCTGAGACTGACATTCTAAATCTTTAGGTCATCTATCTATTGAGAAGAACATACGGAAGATAGGAATCTAAATATGATTGTCTAAATCATATGATCCACAATCGAGGGAATAAAATTGGGCGCTTTATTCATGTTAAGATTGTTTGGTTGTCTACTTCCTAACGGAGACGGCTTGTCTTGGTCGTCGGAGGTAGGACTCCATGGGTAGAGACATTGATATAGTTTCTAGCGGTGAAATCTATATTGGGTCGGTCCAAAGTTGAATTGTTTTAATTAATAAGTTTGTTTGTATAAAACAATCACTTTGGACGAATTATATGTGGTCATCTTAATCCTGAGATGGATAATGAACCCGTATGCTTGACTTGTATCCTTCGATGTACCAAAGGGAGACATCCTAACATTATGTAAAGCTTCGCTAACTGGTACATTGGGGGTATGACTCGTGTATGCGTAGATTCGTTATTCCTAGATAGTAGAATCCATAGCTCCCACAAAGAGTCAATGATATCCTCTTATGCATTATCTGTGGATTGGAAAATACGAGCGCTCGGCCATTAGACTATTCTATGGTATCTAATGGTTTACTATTTATAATGGTACGAATAGTGGTTTTCCGATGGAGTGGTAATGGAACATAAGATAAATGTAATCGGGATGGTAAAACAGAACTTGACCTCAAGTCGATTATGGATATACTATGGGGATGATACATTAATATATTGAGTCGTGGACGAGAGCTATTCAGAGCTTTGTAAATATGTTATATAAATCGAGAGTGCAGCTCTAGGCTTTTAGTAGAGTAGCGCTAGAGTTTTATAATCATGAGATGGACTTGTTGGTTTACAAGTAACGTTGTGATTGTAGGAACTTGATTTATATATGTCCATCGGGTCCATTTGCTAGCTCACATGATTTTCTATAACTATACGGTGTATTTCTTACATATTGGTAACTTGTGTTATTTCCGTAAAAGAGGTTCAAAGTTAATACGAGATTGGTTAATTAATTTATTAGTGATTTATCGGGTAAATTAATTGATAAATTAATTCTAGATAAATTGGTTGAATTAATGTTTCGGGTTGTTTAGTTCATGAGTAATTTATCGGGAGGAATAATTATTAAATTAATTTTAAATAAATTGGTTGAATTATTATTTTAAGAGTTATTTAATATGGAAAGACTATTATATTATTATTTTCATCAGGCAACTTGTCTACTGAGTTGCTTAAATCAAAATTGAGGCTCTGTGTAAGTTTCCCGTGTTGAAAAACTAGGAAAATAAGTTTTCCTAGTTCAGACCGGTCGACCGATACGGTCAACCGGTTCATGAAGGACAATCGACCGGTGAGATATAACTTCTCTATCACCGTCGACTGGTTGTAACGTGCAGCGCATGCTGACGTGGTGAAACTGACTCTATAAGCGAGATAAACTTTAAAAAAAAATAATTATTATGAAAATATGACTTCTTAAACACTATAAATAGCTCATTAAGTCACATTATTCTTTAGATCACTTTAGAGACTTTTGGGGGGCTGCTGGTAAAAGAGTCCTGAAAGGAAAAATTAAACGAAGTGTGCCCAACCGCACTCCGATCGTGGAAACGAGAATAGCAAAGAAGGCCAGTTGGTTGAGGCTCTTTCGGTTTCTATTTGGAACGCTTTGATCTGTCAAATGTGTTGTTTTCTAAATCTCTAAACGTATGCTTTAGATCTTTAGTATTTATATTATATAGCATCATGAACATGTTCTTGATTGGCTTTCGCATTGATTTAAATTTTTTAAATTCCGCTGCGCACTCGATGTCGTATTTTCTAATAATTGATATCAGAGCCATGGTTATTTGTTCATGATTATGCTATGTACATAGATTTGTGATATAAAAAGATCTCCTTTATGCTTGAATTGATATTTTAGAGAGATGGCACTCAAGGGTTTCTAAATTTTTTATTATCAAGAATAAATGATGAATGGATGATTAAATAATTATTACTGATTATTATTTATAAATTATCAATGGTTTTTTATTATTTAATTTTTACTGGCTATGGTTCCTTAGAGTTTAGGATGGTTGTATAGGAATTTATTCTTGGCGATGTTATTAGATATATGGCCTACCATCGCCGTTAGGGTTTATTTTATTTTCTTTCGTAGAAATTTTATAAACTGGGAACAGTATAAGAATTTTTCATGTAAAATTCTTGGAGGAGATTTATCATGGATCTTGAAGATGGATCTTAAAGACGATGTAAAGGTATCTAACTTTTCTTGGTTTATAAAATTATTTTGTGTTTTTGAATAAATTAAAAAACTGCTTTATTTCTATTTTTTCAGATTTTGGTGACAATTTTTTGAAATTGTCAAAAGTCTAGAAAATTCAAAAAATATGGCTTACTGTTGCACAGACATCGGTCGACCTCTCCGGTCAGCTGGTTAGTGTAAGGCGGTCGACTGGTGGAGTATAACTGCTATGTCACCAGACCTAATGTGACAGTACACGATTTTGCAGTTTTTTGAGATTTTTTCAAGAAAACATGAAAAATAATTTTATGATAACTATAATTTGATCGTGATGAAGAATTCAAGGACAACCGGGAAGATTCAAGATGAATGATCGATATATGTTTTGATTATTCTTAGTAATCTTTATTTTTTTTCTTTTTCTCTAGGATGGAACCATAATATTATGGTTATTATTACTATGCTTGTTGCTTAGTTTAATAACTTTGTATGATTGCATATAATATGATTTGTTATATATGTGCTAACATGTCAGGTAGAATAGGGAGTGCTGCTCATTAAAATTGTTCATGCATATTTTTAACATAAAACCTTATTTTCTAAAAGATTGAGTGGGTGAGGGTTTTTCAAGAAAAAACCCATGGCCTCCATTGTTGGTCCGCAGGTAACACATGGTGATACGATCCCTAGAAAGGGATTCATTATGTACCAGTGTGGATCTCCGAGAGGATAATTTATTTGAACATATTTTATGGTTGTACACCCCTAGCTAATAATTATAGAATATGGATCAAATAGTTGAACGATGGTTATACACTCAAGATTAATTTAATTATTAATATCTCCTAAGAGATTTGTTAATTAAATTAATGGCCAAAGAAAATGATTATCAATATACACCGGACAGAGATTGATCCGGATGGTATATATTGATCGGAGGTGGTCTGTGTTTCCAATTAAATTTTGTATGACCTCCCCGATGAGACTTACAAAATTTTGAGTTGGGAATTATCGTTGTAAGGTTTTAATTTTTTCAAGCTTTTGACCCACAAACAAATTGGTTGCATTAGAATATGTATATATGTTTGATTACTAAATATTTATGCAAGTTTGCTTATACTAGATAAATGAATATTTATTGTAGATCAAAATGTCTACAAGCGCATTATCATCGATACCTAACAAACACACTTTAACTAGAGAGAATTTTACTGATTGGAGAAGGAACCTAAAGATCATCCTAACCTTTGAGAAACTAAATTTCGTACTAAATACACCTTATCCTCCGGAGCGACAAGTTGATGCTCCTAATGAGGTTTTCTTAGCATATTAACGCTGGAAGGACTCTGACGATATGGCTCACTGTTATATGATGGCAAGCATGTCCACTGTGCTTCAAGCATAGCATGAAGATTACATAACTGCTCATCAGATTATGGATCATCTTGAGGACTTGTTTGGCGGCCAAGCCACTGAAAAATGTCAGAAAGCCCTAAGTAATCTCATTAATTACAGACAGAAGGCTAGGTCTTCCATAAAGGAACATATGCTGAAGGTGATGTGCTATTTGGTTGACACTCAGATCATTGGGGTTGACATCGATGGTGAGTCTCAATTGACCGTGATCTTTGAGACTTTGTCGAAGGAGTATATTCTGTTTAGGGCAACGTTCAATTTGAGCGCTAAACAAAATATAACCCTGACAGAGTTGATGCAAGAACTTCAAAAGTTTCAGTGGATGATCAAGGGGCCAACTATTGTGGAGGCCAACTTGGCTGAGGCATCTTCCTCCAAACCCTCTCCAGGGAATGGAAAGAAGAAGCAAGGGGCCAAGAATAAGAGTTCTTCAGTTCCGCCAAACAAGGCCAAGAACGAGAAGAAGAAGAAGAACCCAAACAAGCTCAAGTGCTTTCATTGCAGGAATGTGGGGCACATGAAGAAGAATTGCAAAGACTACCTAGCCTCTAAAGGCAGAGGAGGTAAGTGTGATCTTTTGATTGTGGAAGCATGTATGGTTGAGGAATCCAGTGACAACTGGGTCATAGATTCTGGAGCAACTAATCATGTATGTATTTTTCTGTAGGGGTTCAAGCAAACGAGAAGTCTTCTAAGTGAGAGCTTCACGTTGAGGATGGGCGATGGAACTCTAGTGTTGGCTGAAGTAGTGGGAGATGTCCATCTTTATTTTGGTAGTTATAGGTGTTTATTTTTGCGAGACTATTTTTTTGTTCCTCAATTTAAGAGAAACCTTGTTTCTGTTGCTTGTTTATTTAAGGATTCTTATTCACTTTCTTTTAATAATAAAGTCGTGATTCATAAAAACAAGTCTTTTATCTGTGATGGATGGATGCAAAATAATCTATATTTTATCAAACCTAAGGTGGACTCACTGCTAAACACTGAAGTTATTATTAACTCTAAAAGGCTTAAAACTTCTCACTCTAATGAGACATATCTTTGGCATTTGTGACTTGGTCACATTAGCCTTAACAGGATACAGAGGCTGGTAAAGGACGGACCTTTAAATTCTTTAAAAGATGGACCTTTATTTCATATATCCATGTATTGTCCTCTTTATGTTCATATTAGTTAAGTGTATGATAAGCAAACTGAAAGTCTGAGACTATCATTCTAAATCTTTAGGTCATGCATGTAATGAGAAGAACATGCGGAAGACAGGAATCTAAATATGATAGTCTAAATCATATGATCCACAATCGAGGGAATAAAGTTGGGCGTTTTATTCATGTTAAGATTGTTATGTTGTCTACTTCCTAACGGAGATGGCTTGTCTTGATCGTCGGAGGTAGGACTCCATGGGTAGAGCCATTGATATAGTTTCTAGTGGTGAAATATATATAGGGTTGGTCTAAAGTTGAATTGTTTTAATTAATAATTCTGTTTGTATAAAATAATTTACTTTTGACGAATTATTTATGGTCATCTTAATCATGAGATGTATAATGAACCCGTATGCTTGACTTGTATCTTTTGATGTACCAAAGGGAGACATCCTGACATTATGTAAAGGTACACTTACCGGTACATTAGGGGTATGACTCGTCTATGCGTAGATTCTCTATTCATAGATAGTGGAATCCATAACTCCTACAAAGAGTCAATGATGTCCTCTTATGCATTATCTGTGGATTAGAAAATACGAGCGCTCGGCCATTAGACTACGATGTGTTATCTAATGGTTTACTATTTGTAATGGTACGAATAGTGGTTTTTCGATGGAGTGGTAATGGAACATATGATAAATGTAATCGGAATGGTAAAATGGAACTTGACTTCAACTCGATTATAGATATCCTATGGGGATGATACATTAATATATTGAATCATGGACGAGAGCTATTTAGAGCTTTGTAAATATGTTATATAAATCGAGAATGCAGCTCTAGGCTTTTAGTGGAGTAGCACTAGAGTTTTATAATCATGAGATGGACTTGTTGGTTTACAAGTAGCGTTGTGATTATAGGAGCTTGATTTATATATGTCCATCGGGTCCCTTTGCTAGCTCACATGATTTTTTATAACGATACGGTGTATTTCCTACATATTAGTAACTTGTGTTATTTTTGTAAAAGATGTTCAAAGTTAATATGAGATTGGTTAATTAATATATGACTGATTTATCGGGTGAATTAATTGATAAATTAATTCTAGATAAATTGGTTGAATTAATGTTTCGGGTTGTTTAGTTCATGAGTAATTTATCGGGTGAATTAATTGTTAAATTAATTCTAACTAAATTGGTTGAATTATTATTTCAAGAGTTATTTAATATAGGAAAACTATTATATGACTGTTTTGTTCAGGTAACTTCTCTATTGGATTGCTTGAATCAAAATTAAGGCTTTGTACAAGTTTCCAGTGTTGAAAAACAAGGAAAATAAGTTTCCCTAGTTCAGACCAGTTGACAGGTTCATGAAGGACACGTCGACTGGTGAGTTATAACTTCTCTGTCACCGTCGACCGGTTGTAACGTGTAGCGCATGCTGACATCGCAAAACTGGCTCTGTAAGCAAGAAAAACTTTGGGAAACCTAATTGTTACGGAAATATGACTTCCTAAACACTATAAATAGCCCATTACGTCACATTATTCTTTAGATCACTTGAGAGACTTCTTAGGGGCTATTGGCAAAAGATTCCTGAAAGGAAAACTTGTTTAATTCTCAAGAATGATTTTTTCTTTGGCTCTCTTGTGGTTGGAAGGAGTTCAAGAATACCAAGAGGAGATTGAACGACGTGTGCCCACCTGTACTCTGATCGTGGCAACGAGAATAGCAAAGAAGACTAGTTGGTTGAGGCTCTTCTGGTTGCTGTTTGGAACGCTTTAATCTACCAGATGTTTTGTTTCCTATATCTCTAAAGGTATGATTTAGATCTTTAGTATTTATGTTATATAGCATCATGAACATGTTCTTGATTGGCTTTCGCATTGATTTAAATTTTTAAAATTCTGCTGCGTACTTGATGCTATATTTTCCAACAAGTATGCACCTTCGTGAGATATCCTCAAGGGACAAAAGGAGGACTATTTTATAGTCAGGAAGATCAAAAGGTATTTATATTGATAAATGACATGTTTCTGGAGCATGACTATATGATAGATTTCAAACCCGGAAGCAAAGTAGTACAGAAGAGTTACTATCCGATGAGAAAGGATCACAACCAGCAAGAGTTGTCATTGCACAAAGAGATAAGACCATGATTCCTAATCAAACTCTTGTGGCACCTCGTCATAGTGGGAGGGTAAGCAAGTTACCTGATCGGTATACCGGGGAGGCACAGATTGTCACTACTGATGACGGTAAAGAGGATCCATTGACCTTTAAGGCTGTGATGGATGATTCTGATATGGAAAAATGGCAAGCAGCTATGAAACTCGAGATGGAGTCCATGTACTCTAACTCAATATGGCAACTTGTAGATCTACCCGAAGGGGTAAAACTCATTGGATGCAAGTGGATTTTCAAAAAAAAAAAAGGAGAGGAGCGGATGGAAAAAGTAGAGACTTATAAAGTAATGCTAGTAGCTAAAGGTTATACCCAGAAAAAGGGAGTTTACTATGAGGAAACTTTCTCTCCGATAGCCATTCTTAAGTCCATTCGGATACTCCTGGCCATAGCAGCATATTTTAACAATGAGATATGGCAAATGGATGTCGAGACAGCTTTTTTGAATGGCTATCTTGAGAAAATCATCTATATGGATCAGCCAGAGGGTTACATAGAGGAAGGCTAAGAGCAAAAAGTCTACAAACTGCAAATCAATTTATGGATTAAAGCAGGCATCTAGATCATAGAACATCAGGTTTGATAAGGCTATTAAGTCTTATGGATTTGATCAAAACCAAGATGTATCAAACGAAAGAAAAGAAGATGTTCTTGTTCTTTACTAGCCTAAATATCTGATATTCAAGGGGAGTGGTCAGTCATTGTTAATTGAACTCATGATCGGATCATTGGGTAACAATGTAGTATATCCTTAAGTGTATGAGAAAAGCAAGAAACTATAAGATAGTTTAGTCAATGAAAGAGTTGTCTTTTAGCTAGATACACAGACTGACCATGAGTCATGCATCGATATCAAGAGTCGACATCCAAATCTATTTTCACACTGGGTGAATGAGTCATGATACGAAAGGTTGTTGGCAAAGTGTGATTGCTAATTCTATCGTTAAGGATTAATGTGTTGCAGCTTGAGCAACCTGACTCCATAAATTTTTTAATTGATGTAGAAGTTGTTCTAGGGATAGATCAGTCATAGACACCTAGAAAGTTTCAGGATTAGAGACATATTCTACCTGCTTTAGGACAAGTGGGAGATTGTTGTGAATGGTGTCCTAGAAGCATGAGATGTAATAGGATATTTATTATTTATTTAATAAAAGAGTTTATTCATTATTTTATGTGCATATATTTATGAATATTTTATGAATATCAGTAAAAATTCCATAATTATTTATGTGACCTTAAATATTGTATATAAGTGTTCTATGCGAGAGAATAATATTTAAGGATAATAATCAAAACGATGTCCGTAATAAATTTAATTAAAGTTCAGAATCTTTAATTAAAACATTACTAATACATGTCATTCTCATTTAGAATGAAACTGTGTTATCCGCACTGTTAATATGGTGAGATGTTGAATGAGTGTATTACGCATAATGAGATTATATGGAATAAAGACACAGACACAATATGAATTTCTGATAATTTTCGTTAAGTATAGAAATTCTAATTAAGTCTACCAATGGTTATAGAATGATCTTAATCTTGAGTTATTAGCAAACTCCTTTTTATGAATTTGTGTCTTTTAATTTACTCAGTACAAATTCTGAAATTTTGAATCATATTCCTTGTATTTTGGAGACATGATGAAGTGAGTAGCTGGGAATGTTATTATACAAGATGGAATCCATTCCTTCTTGAGAAAGAAGAAGATAAATAATTCTCTTGAGGGTTGATTCGGTCCTTGGACTAGTAGGAGCTCTGATTCATGAATTTGTTTTATGAATCACTCTCCATTAGAGAATCAATGGTACTCAAGGATAAAGATGTAATTAGAGAGGTTAACGGATTTCACATAACTCTAATTATGAATTATTTATGGAGGATTGATGTATTTGCAATGACTATATCAAATGGACACTTCACAGTTTAGAAGTAATTTATGTCTATAATTACAAGAGTGCAATTCCAAATTTATAGTGGAGTAACTATTAGAGTTAATGGAATTAATTAATTAATTAAAGTGTTTAATTAATTATTAATTTATTGGAGCTCGGAATTATAGGTCAATGAGTCCCTAGGTCGTCCTTGTAATCCTACAAGGCACTAAGGGCAAAATGAAAATTTTAAATTATAGAATTCTAAAAATAACACTCAATGATAATTAATTGAAAATTAATTATAAATTAAATAATGTGATTATTAAGTTTAAGTTTAAATTTGAATTTTGAAACACACATATGAAGGTGTTCACCTAGTGTGAACGCACACTACAATGTGAATCCCTCTAGGATTCAGTTGCTTGCTCTCTAAGTTATCCATTTAACTTATTTGATAAGTTATTCAATTGAAATTCAAATTAATTTAAGTTTTACTTAAATATGAATTTGAATTTGAGTCAAAATTGTAATACAAGATAAATACAGAATTTTACCATATTCTTTACCTGCAGTATGCGTCTACCACAGGGAGGAATCTCCCTATGGTGACCGGCCATATAGGATAAGGGAGGAAGTGGATTCAAATTAGAAGTGAGAGATAATTATCAAGCTTTATCTTGAAGATAAAGATTAGACTTCTTCTGGGAGTCTAATTACTACTCTATAAATAGGAGAATGTAGAAAATTATAAAACACAATTTTTGCTCTCTCCTAGTGATAGTGGCCGAATTTTATAAAGTGTGGAAAGGAAAAATTTTCTCCTAAATTCCACCTCGTGCATGTGTTGGTATTCGTGAAAAACTTGAGTGTTTATTTGCTAATCTCGTTTTGTTTCAGGTGTGGCCACATACGCGTCTTTAGAGATTCAAAGAACTGACAAGAAAGATTCGGGTGTTCTAAACTAACTTGGAGCAAGGAACGTTCGAGGTCAAAGAACTCAAGTTATCGACCTAATCGCTCGCTATGTATAAATTAATGTAATCTATAGAGTATCACAAAGTTTTATGAAATTTTTGTTATACACGATCCGCTTTTTATACACTTCCGCATCCGAAATCGTTTCGGAAACCAACAACATGCATTCAATACAAGCCATCTCATTTCTCACATTTTCCTAGAAGTTTTCCTACAGTTTTCTAGACATTCCGTTGTATTTTCCACATATTTTTCTGACATTTAAGGAGAATTTCATTGTATTCTTCTTCTACAATCATAGTGGAACTATCGAAGACCCTATATTAGACATACCCTAGGTTATTAGGAGAAACAATATAAATCTCTATGTCTCACTATCTTTATTTTCTACGTCTTCATTTTTTTTTCTCTACGATTACGATACTAACATAATCATCTGAATTAAGTCATCGACCTCTTAATAAATTTAATTGTAGATTTCACCCTCTACACGAATAATCGAAAAGCACAAAGAGACTAAACCCGAAAATTAATCATGTCCACCAATGAATTCTAATAAAGCGCTCAATATGAAGAAACGCAAACTGCCTTCTAACAATGGAATATCAAATAGGCACTAAATATCAAGCACATATATAACTATTTCGAACTTCTATAATTAATGGAAAAATATATTCGCTTGATCAACTGATTTATTACATTTACACTACATAAAAGTAATTCTAGCCGATCAAAAGCACAACTTACATCAAAGAATGGGCAACCGCCTCTCTTATTACAACAACAACAACAAGCCTTAATCTCAACTTAATTGGGGTCGGCTATATGGATTTCACTTTTCCACGCAACTCTGTTCGAAATTAAACTTTTCTGAAGGCCTAGATATAGAATATCTTTCCTAACTACTTCGGTCCACGTAATTCTTGGTCTACCCCTCCCTCTCCTAGTATTAGATATAATAATGTCTTCCCAAGTACGAACTGGTGCTTCTAGCGGTCTACGTTGGACATGCCCATACCACCTCAAGCGGCCTTCGCGCACCTTATCTTCTATTGGTGCTACACCAACTTTACTACGAATAACTTCATTCCTTATGCGGTCCATTCTCATATGGCCACTCATCCATTTTAACATACGCATTTCTGCCACACTCATCTTAGATATATGTTGTCTCTTAATGGCCCAACATTCACTACCATATAATATAGCTGGGCGGATTACAGTCCTATAGAACTTTCTTTTCAACTTAATAGGCATCTTGCCGTCACATAAAACTCACGTAGCATTCTTCCACTTAACCCACCCTGCATTAATCCTATGTTGAATATCCTCTTCTATATCTCCTTTGTGCTGCACTATAGACCCAAGGTACCTAAACTTCCTAGAAGCCCCAATCTCCACACCATCTAAAGAAATTCCATCACTCTAATTACTTGAGTTACTAAACCTACAATGCATGTATTCAGTTTTCGTCCTACTTAACTTAAATCCCTTTATCTCGGGAGTCTGTCTCCACAGTTCTAACTTACGGTTAACTCCTTCCCTATGTTCATCAACTAAAACTATATCATCCGTAAAAAGCATACACCAAGGAACTCTATCTTGGATTCCTCTTGCCAGCTCATCCATCACGATGGTGAAAAGATAAGGATTAAGAGTAGATCCTTGATGAAGGCTGATCTGAATGGGAAACTTTGTCGTGGAGCCTCCAGCAGTTCTCACACTCGTGACCACTCCATCGTACATGTCCTTAATTACCTTAATATACCTCACATGCACTCCTCTCTTTTCTAGCACCCACCATAAAACTTCCCTCGGAACCCTATCATATGCCTTTTCTAAATCTATAAAGACCATATGTAGGTCCGTCTTGGCTTCTCTGTACCTTTTCATCAGCATCCTAAGAAGAAAAATGGCTTCCGTGGTTGATCTGCCTGTCATGAAACCAAATTGGTTACGTGAGATGGTAGCTGTGGCCCTTAATCTCCTTTTGATAACTCTCTCCCAAAGTTTCATAGTGTGGCTTATTAACTTTATGCCCCTATAATTATTACAATTCAGCACATCTCCTTTATTCTTAAAGATGTGGACAATAATACTTTTCCTCCATGCATTAGGCATATGCTTCTTCTTTAGTATCTCATTAAAAAGCTTAGTGAGTCACACAATTCCAACATCTCCTAACATCATCCAAACCTCTATTGGAATATCATCTAGCCCACATGCCTTCCCCATTTTCATTTTTCGTAGTGCAGTTTTAACTTCCGAGACTCTAATTCCTCTTGTATACATCACATTAGTTCTCCTTATGACCTAAGATCGTCAAACTCCATCGCATGATCATCATTATAAAGATTCTTAAAGTAACTCCTCCACCTTTTCCTAATGTCTTTATCTTTTGTCAAAACCTAATCCGTATCATCCTTAACACCCCTCACTTGATTTAGGTCCCGACACTTCCTTTCTCTTATCATAGCTAGTTTATATATATCATTCTCCCCTTCTCTAATTCCAAGTTTCCTATATACCTCATCTATGTAAGTAGAACAAGCCTTACCAATTGCCCGCTTAGCTTCTTTCTTCGTTTCTTTGTACTTATTAAAAGTTTCAACATCCTTACGCTTTGATAAATCTCTATATAAATATTCCTCTTGGTCTTAATAGCCTTTTGAACTTCCTCACTCTACCACCAGGTTTCTTTCCCTGTGGGGCCTTTACCTCTAGATTCTCCTAGTACCTCATTTGCCACTTTTCTAATGCAGCTGGCTATAGCATCCTACATAGTATTTGCATCACCTATATATGACCAAGTAGCCTCATCTAACAACTTCTCTTTAAAGGCCAATTGTTTTATTCCCTTCAAATGCCTCCAATGAATTCGTGGGAGGTGGTTTATCTTAGTCCTTCAATAGCAAAGCTTAATGCTCACATAAAGAACGTTCTCCACGAATTACTTTACAATTCTTACATAGAGAACGTTCTCTATACCTTACGAGAAAATAATCTATCTAGCTCAAGTTCTTCACATTCTTAAAAGTGATCAAGTGAGAATCTCTTTTCTTAAAAAATGTGTTTGTTATGATAAAATCATATCCTAACGCAAATTTTAAAATAGATTTTCCTTCTTCGTTTCGAACTCTAAAATCAAAACCATCATGGATCCTTTCGAAGTTTTCCCTATCCTTACCAAAAAAATAAAAACACATGATCAAGACACACAAACGACGGATTCAACATCATTTTTATTAGAATAAAACAAAAAATAAAACTAAAATAAAAAAATACAAGATGGGTGCCGAACCACAGAAATGATGCTTCCAATGATGAGAAGCGGAGCCTCCGCTTCTGGACACTGGTTTTTCTATTTATTTTTTAAAGTATTTAGACGAAATGATCATTTTTACTTTTATTTTTTATGTTTAAAATATGTGTTTAATTTAATAATATTATAAATTTGTTATTTTATAGTTACTCATATAATATAATTTTAAATATATTTTTTACATGAGTGCTCGTAAATTTGTATAACTTATTTTGAAATGTGGTTAACTAAGAATAAAAATGTCATTACAAGTTATTTTACAGACTTATATGTAAATATAACAACTTGTTACATTTTTTCATCTATTATAAAATATATATATATATCTAATAAACCGTTATTTTTAACTAGTTTTATTTTTATCTTATGTGAATAAATAAATAAAAGGAAAGACCAAAAGAAAAAAGAAAACTACGAAAATCTAAGAGGCAGTGAAAAGCCAAAAAAGAACATGTAAAACTATTCACTGATATTCATAGGCGATAAGCCTGTGCTTGTTGTTCACGGTACATAAATTATTCAGCCAAGGCGAGTCTTTTGTCTCTTCCTTCGTCCTATGATTTTATCCTCTCTTCCCAAGTCAACACGGCCGGCGACGAATCAAACCCCACACATCACTTCTCTCTCTCCCCTTTCTCTCTCTCCTCTTTCTCTCTCCTTCCTAGAAGAACCCTAGAGCTTCGAATTGGTCAATCCCCTCAATTTCACAAATCCACGGATTGACCAGATTTCAAGCCCAGCTTACGCATCCAAACTCACCGATTCTCTCTCTGGCATGAGTAGCTTCCTCTGATTTCTCATCCCCAATGTCGTCGGAGATCGAGGTAGTCGATGAAGAGGCTCAGACCTCCCGCGGCGGAGTAATGGCGAATTCCGCCGCCGGAGGGATGGCGAACGGAGTCGCCGAGGAGAGCCTCAGGAACGACGTCTACACGGCGGCTGCCTACGGCGATTTCGAGAAGCTTCAGAGGTTGGTGGAGTCCGATGGTTGCTCTGTTTCCGAGCCCGACGGCCTCGGCTACTACGCCCTTCAGTGGGCCGCCCTCAACAACCGGACCGCCGCTGCGCAGTACATCATCCAGGTTTTTGCAATTTCTTTGCTCTGTTTTTATTCTTCAATTGAGTTTGAGTTCTTTCATGTTTCAAGCTGTTTGATCGGGCATTATTATTTTGTCGATTGTGTATCAGACGAATTGAAAGTAGATTTAATTGAGTTGAGTGTTTAGTAGTATTGAAACGTGGAGTAAAAGCGATTCGATTCAAATTTTAAAATTACTTACGAAGTTGTGTATAGAGTATGGCAATTAAGCTTGTTAATTATTGTTTGGTTTAATGTTGATTTTCCTTGGCAGCATGGCGGGGATGTAAATGCGACGGATCACACAGGGCAGACCGCATTGCATTGGAGTGCGGTCCGAGGTGCGATCCAGGTCGGGGAGCTTTTGCTCCAGGAGGGTGCTCGGATCAATGCGGCGGATATGTACGGCTATCAGGTTGGTTTTGTTGATCTGTTTTGATTGTCAGAAACATTTATGTATATTTTTAAAGAGAACGAAAAGGTGATCCTGAGTGTCTCTTAAGAGAGAAATTTTTAGATGTAAGTTTTGCTCAAGCACCGGTATTACTCGATACAAAATATGAACTACGCATTATTGGATGGAACTAATGCTTTGGAGGTCAAAGTCTTGCCCTTGAATAATTTGCGTTTTTGGGCTTTGGCTTAAGTAGTACAGTGATGGGGTAGCATTTGGGTATGTCTTAATACACACATTCTAAAAAAGGAGAGGAAAGCTTGTATTGCAGAAAGTTGGCAACTTAGTTATATTTACTTGATTTGTGAGGGGCATGCCATTCAAAATATATGAAGAGTGTGCTGATTGTTTTGTATGAACTTATGATTGTTTTGTATGAACTTATGATGAACTCTGTCAACGTGAGAATAGAAGAACTAAATAGTCCTCAAGGAACAAACATGAGCAATCTGATTGAGTCGTTATGTTGTTTTCATGTATTAACTAATAATGCAGCTGCACATTTTAGTAACTGGTGAATATATGGGGTATTGATTGAGTTTTGGTTAATCACAGACAACACATGTTGCAGCTCAATATGGTCAGACTGCTTTTCTCTATCATATTGTTTCCAAATGGAATGCTGACCCTGATGTTCCTGATAATGATGGAAGAACGCCTTTACACTGGTACGTGAATAGCATAAGAGTTTATCGTTGGATGCTCTATGAAATCTGAGTGTGGAATACTTAAGCTAGTTTCATTTTTTTCGCACGAACAGATTAATTAGTTTTGGGATGAATTTGATGCTCTATGAAATCTGAGTGTGGAATACTTAAGCTAGTTTCATTTTTTTCGCACGAACAGATTAATTAGTTTTGGGATGAATTTTTCTTAACTTTGTTGCCGTTATGCAGTAGACTCATATTTGATGTACTTTTTCCTTCATTATGGTTGGATTTAGGGCTGCATACAAAGGTTTTGCTGATTCCGTACGTCTTCTTTTGTTTCTTGATGCACATAGAGGACGCCAAGATAAAGAGGGTAAGTTTGTCTACTGTAAAAGTTGTCAGTGTATAAGAACTAGGTATTAAACATGATTCTCCTTCTCTTCTTTCTTTTTTTAAATTCAGGTTGCACTCCTCTGCATTGGGCTGCTATTAGGGGTAACTTAGAGGCATGCACGGTATTAGTTCAGGCGGGCAAGAAGGAGGACTTGATGATTACAGATAACACTGGCCTTACCCCAGCACAACTTGCCTCTGATAAGAACCATAGACACATTGCTTTTTTCCTTGTACGTGTTCCATAACCAAATCACTTTTAAATTGGTTAGTAGTGTTTCTTTATATGTATCATGATTTCACTTTCAATACTCTTTGTTTGTGTGAAGGTTTTGTTAACATACGTCTTCATTTTTTTTCTCCATAAGAAACAACCTCCCATTGATGATAAAATCAATTATGAAGAAAAGTGGAGAATATGTCCTTAAGATGAAGAAAATTCAATGCAAATAAAAGGAGGAGGAGCAACTGAAAAGAACCATAGAAATGAAAACAAGATTTGTCCAACTAAGCCCTCATCATGATATATTCTATTTCATGATATTTATTCGGCTTTTACATGTACTACATAAAATGTCCTTTAGTTCCTAAAAATTTGTGCGATGATTCTTTGCATATCTCTTCATTGGTCATCTGTCCTAATTTACCCACATGACGACGTTTCGAAGCGCACATGATTGTGGGAATGGTTGGTCATGAACCAGAGAGATAATGTTTCTATGCTGTTTATCTTTGCAAGCATGTATAATCTTAGATTTCATTCTACAATATATCTATGCTATTTAGGAGGTCAATTTTCCAACAATGTGCTTGGTTTTAACTTTCAAGTGAAAGGAAAGAAATGGGCAGCTGTTTTTTTTCTGTTATCAATTATTTATTTTCCTTTGTGGTAGTTATTAGCTAATGACAAAGCAAATAAGTATGACATGAAGTTTTATCAAAAGTGAAATGCATTTAAGTTTTTCCACTCTTTTCATAACCTCCTTCCTCTTACTGGGGACGGGTGTTTACACGTTCCTATAAAAGAACCTATAACTATGAAATTAAAGGAGAAAAGAAAAGTATGAATAATGCTGAGATTGTACAGGGGAATGCTAGAAGGCTACTTGACAAACGTTGCGATGAACACAGTCGTCTTGGAAAAATTTCAAAACTAGGACTTGCACCTGTGCTTTGGTGTATGATCTTTGTGTTACTCGTGACCTACACTCATTCCATCATTATTGGTAGCTGCCTTGAGCTTTGTGCACATTCTTTCTTCTCTTTTTCTGGGTTGTTGTAATTAACATCTTCTGTGTTTCTATACTTTCATGGCAGCATCAAATCTGCCAAAATTAACAGCTGGCTCAGTTTTTATTGCTTGGTTGGGCGTATTCCTGGCAACTTCTGGTTTAGTCATGCTTTACCAGTGTAGCAGGTAAAAACATGTATATTGCTTTTTATCTTATTTAACAATAAAAGAGCTCCAGAGTTGAGCATATGCATGTCGTTAAAATGTTCTGTTTTGGATATCCATTTATACTGAATGGTGATTTCCTCATTCCTATATTCTCACAAGCAGTCCAGTACCGTTGATTTCTTTTTCTGATGCTGCACGGGAGCAACTGTCTGTTATTTCATTTTTTACTTGTTTCCTTTTTACTTTGCAGCAAGGATCCGGGTTATGTCCAAATGAACGTCCATGATCCCGAAAATATGAAGGATGATGTACAAACTATTCTCTTTTTCATTTTGTCTTTCCATCCTCATCTATGGATTCTTTTAGATAATGGATTGGCTCATACATTTTTAATACTTCCTTGGCGACGCTTGTGCATTTATTTTCAGCCATCGCTCACCTCTGTTATGCATAAAAGCAGTTATAGAGCTGATTTGTTTTAAGCCTTTATGATGACTGAGTTTGTTGGTATTTGATGCATTCTATTAGGAACCTCTTTTGAAGATTGAAATAAATAATCCTGCTCTTCTAGCTGGGAATTGGTCCCAGCTTTGTGCAACATGCAAGGTGTCGTCTACTTCCAACTCTTTTAGCATTTTTCTGTTTGTGACAATCTTATGCTTGTCCGTTCGGACTTTAATCTAATGTGGTTTCATTTTTCTTTTTCATTAGATTGTCAGGCCACTTCGTGCAAAGCATTGCTCTACGTGTGATCGTTGTGTCGAACAATTTGACCATCATTGCCCCTGGGTGTCCAATTGCGTTGGCAAGGTTGGTGGTTAACGTTGATAATTTATTGAATTCTATGCTTATGTATCCTTGCATCATCTGGATTTGTATCTATGGAGAAAGTATGACATTTTCCATTTAGGCATCATTTAAAATGCTTAGTATTATGACATGCATCAGTGTAGTCACTAACGACACTTCTAAACTTGTGTCAACTTTTGAGTTTCATTTTCTCACCTGGTGTGTTGAAAGGCAACTTAGTTATTAAGGTTTGATAATGTGATTGTTAATAGACAACAATCTGCTAAAAAAGTAACTTAAGGTAGAGTCACTTTTTGTATTGACTTTTTTTTCTCTCTAGTGGTTTTCTGGCTCTCCGATTGGTAGGAGAATGCTGGCTGATTGTTTTCTTGCCGTAGGGAGTTGTGCATCTATGATTATCTCCGAAATCTAATTTCTTTTTTATGAACATCTAATGCAGAAAAATAAATGGGATTTCATTATATTTCTTGTTCTGGAAGTCCTGGCAATGTTGATTACTGGAGCAGTCACTCTGTCAAGTAAGTTCTGATTGGCTGAGCTCCAGCTACTTTTTCTCTTGGCTTTTATGTGTGTGTATTTTTCAATCTGCTAAAAGAAATTAATCCTTATAGGAATTTGGAACGATCCACTTGCTCCGTCTTCTTTCGGGGCATGGATTAATTATGCCGGTACTAATCATGTTGGTGCCCTAGCATTTTTGTTCGCGGATTTCTTCCTTTTCTTTGGTGTGGCGGTTTTAACTGTTGTACAAGCATCTCAGGTAAATCTGCTCGATCCTTTGTACAATATCTGATGAATTTGCTAATGCTGGTATTTGTTCTGCATATAAAATGTGCTTCAAATTCCTCATAAACAATCAATCATCTCCAGTTTTCAAAGTTTTGTCAGGAGTGGCAACTCCTTTTCTAAATATGTTTATGGTCCAAAAGATTAATTAGATTGTTTTGGTTTATTTTCCAAATGGATATCTTAACATGTTGCAATGAATCATTTCAATAGTCTGATTTTCACCCTCTCTTCTCACAGATATCAAGAAATATTACAACAAATGAAATGGCAAATGCCATGCGCTATAGCTACCTGAGAGGCCCAGGTGGTCGATTCAGAAACCCATACGATCATGGCATCAAGAAGAACTGTTCGGACTTCTTGATCAATGGTTATAATGAAGACGTGGAGTACATTGAACAACCAGCCGATGCCGAGGGTATTGGAATGATGCATATTCCAAAGAACCCGAATTTGCAAAATGGGGACTCCCATTCTCATCACGCGAATGGCTGCAGGCATGTTGCTATAAATGTGAACTCTAATAATAGCACCAAAGCTCAACACGGTCATGTTCATTCTGCACATTTTAGCCACAATAACCATGAGAAATCGAAAAGTGATACTGTACCATTAGGCCTTGGTCTTGGTCTCGGACGGAACAATACTAGATCGATTGCAACTTCATGATTGATGTTCATGTCTATCCCCCCAACTTTTGTTTGAGATTGAGTCTTGTATTATAATATTTATTTAATTAGTTATTGCTTTTCTTCTTTTTTAATAAAATCACAGCTAGGTTATTTGAGATTTTTCTCTCGTTCATAGATTGATAGATGTTTATCTAGATGAGTTCGAAGATCACAGGCCAAGTGGTGTCTTGTGGTTTGAAGCACAATATATTTTTGAAAATATAGTGTTGATTAATGAATTGTAGTTATTTTTTTCCTTTGTTGCGATGTCTGACTTGCAATTATATGGATATACGTTTCTGTTCGTGAAATTGCTGGACTGAAAATTGTTGGTTTTGGTACGGCAATTTTTGTAGATTAGTAGTAGCCTTTGACCTATATATCATTTTTCTTTTAGGGTGATATTTCTGTACACGTATAAAATTATTAAGGGTCCGTTTAGTATAAGGATTAAAATCAAGGTGATTTGAGTCATTTGATTCAAAATCATGATTCAGAATGATTAGAATCTTCGTTTGGATGTGTATATGCATGATTCTGATTCTAACTTGAAATGTGATTCGAACCAGTTTGGTTGTTTTGTTTTCTAAATTTGAATCATGACCAAAATAAATGTAAGTCAAAAAATTATATAATAATTACGTGTCATTTAAAAAAAATATATAATTCGTTATATAATTAAAAAAAATGAAGTACTAGAAAAAATTTATACAAATACTTATAACGCAAAATTATAACAAGTTAACTACGAAATAAATAGAAGAAATGTGAATGAAATTATATAACAAGCCAAGCATATATTAAATGCAAAATAACATAACCCCAAGAGTCTTCCATACATTCACCTTCTACAATGATTTCAGTAGCCATTCCAAACATATCACTGCCGTGGTCTATACCGGTAAGCATATGTATTGAAGAACTGATATTACAATGCTTAAAGAATGTATTTACAGATTAGCCTGCCGCGGATCGGCAGATGTAGAACACAGTTCCTTTCATCATCTTAAGATCTCTCTTATTGCTGACACAACTGAGTGGAAAAAGAAGAAAAGGAGCTATAGGTGTTTTGTCTTAAAATTTAGTGATCTAATGTATGTGTTGTTTCCTTTCATCCCTTCACTAAGCCCCCATTGAGGCATCAAAATTAAACGCGTGAGAGAAAAAGGAAGTTTCTTCTTGTAGATGAATATGTACAAACAGAGTTATGATTGAATCAACTGAGTTCTCTTGTCGAATGATTCTGCACTTCGCCTTTCGGAGGAAAGATCATCAAAGAATTAAAGGTACAAATCCTATCCTTCAAGTATGCATTTGAGATTGTGAAGTCCCTCTGCAGAAATGCTTCTTCTCACTCTTGGCCTTTCCACCACCACAAGCTGAGGCGGCTCCGAGTGAAAACTTACCATGACAACAGTCAAATTGTCGGTTGCTCCTCGCTTTATTGCCTCCTCGACTATTTGCTTGCAACAGAGCTTCACATTGTTGTGCTCCTGAAGTCAAAGATATGTATTAAATTGAAATCCAATTAATAGTATTGATAGGCTTCCAAACAATAGTTGCATTAAAAAGTCGAAGATATGTATATGGTTGTGTCCAAAGGGTAAAGACACTTTAAGAGATGAAGAAACAGTTCGATACACCACAATTTACACACACACACACACACATCTTCTAGTGTGGAGGGAATTGTACATACATAGCGTAAACAAATAATCGATTTAACTTAAAACACATGCACGCACACAGGCTAAGAACTTACAATGTCATATGGGGCATCAGTTTGCTTGCACTTCACCCATGGAACCCCAGCACCAAGGCCCAAAGCCATCTTTAGCTGCCCATTTAACATAGTCCTTTCCTTTCTGCCTAAACGTCCCCTCAATATTTCCGTATTCATTTTCAATCCGATGAATTTTCATTAAGCAGGATATATAAGCATAAATGTGCGAACTAAACTAGCTAAGCAATGTATACAAATTAGTCAATGTGCAAGTGGAATTATAATTTAAGAGAACCATGCAATGAGTCTAATATAAAGCAAGCTGAGAACTAGATATGAACTAGATAGGAAAGGCAACGTCACCACTCATATCAGATTTCTGCGAGATTCTTCCTCCATTCTTCTTTCCTCTTCAAGTCGAGCTTCAGCCTCCTGCCTTGCTCTGTCTTCCTTGTCTCTGTCAGCTTGCAGTGAAGCAAGATATTCATCATCCTGAAAGCATCAAATCAGAAGAAAGAATTAGGGACGTCATTTTATATGAGCTGACATTAAGAAATTTTCCAGATATGAAACCTGTTGTTCACAGAAATTTTCCACATGTCAAACTTGTCTCCTACGGCTTCCTTGGTATTCCACCCACATTTCATTCGCAAGGCGATCCCTAAAACGACCCGTCTGTACGACTAACACTATCTCCTGTTGCAACTAGCCCTTCAGGAACATTATCATCAGTGTCATCGTAATCAAATTCATCATCATTGTTCGGATCTATTTCGCTTACAGGTACACCATCACAGTAGTATTGATTTAGAAGGGGGTCCCCCTCATTAAACATGTGAATGAAATTATGTAGTATTGCACAAGCAACTGGAATCTTCACTTGTTTATCCATTGGATACGTATTATTGGGGCGCCTTAGGATAGGGAACCTAGCCTTCCAAACCCCGAATGTTCGCTCTATACAATTACGTAGCGACGAGTGTTTGTAGTTAAAAATATCTCTAGTTCCCTGAAATCCACCACTTCTTCTTCTATAATCAGGCAAATGGTAAGTCCCACCTCTTACAGAGCGAGAAAACAATCAAAATTTGCGTACGCCGCATCAACAAGATAGTATTTTGCTGTGCAACTTATATAAATTAGGATGCAATTTATGCCCCATACTATTAATAGCCATAAGTACAGATACATTATGAAGTATAACCTGGTGGGGGACGTGGGAACTTGAACCTAGGATTGGAGTGTGTTTCCGTTAGCACTCTTGCATCGTGCGCTGAACCTTCCCATCCAGATAGCAAGTACGTGAACTTCACATCGAACGAGTAGGCTGCCAATATGTTTTGGGAGTTCACACCCTTCCTATTGCGGTACGCCGTAGGATTTGGAACTCCAATCGGTGTACAAAGTATATGAGTTTCGTCAATCGCGCCTACACAATCCTGAACAATGATATTGGATTGTAGATATTATAAGTCAAAACAATTGAAACAGTGACTAACACAAGACCTGGGTAAAAGAGCTAGAGAACTTACGTCAAACCATGTACCATATCTTTACCGATTCCGACGTAAAAAAACATGCACTTTCTCATAGTTAGGGGGTTTAATAAAATCAACGTATAGTGCACATATATCGTCGAGGACATCAGTAAACCGCCGTGAAATTGTCTCCCCAGAATGTTGCCATATGTCTTGCACTTCACAGTTAGTTTGACTTTGGCAAGCAATTGTTAAAAACACAAATAATTGTTTTGGTATATTCATGTTGTACGAGGGTCGTAACAAACGTCTCTCAGTTAGTATGTCACAAAGAACCATAAAACAACGTGGTCCCATACGCACCTTGTTAAACATAGCAGCTTCATTATTGTTTGCTAACAACTCATTTACCTTATCGAGACCCCTCAAAGAAGAAATGTGCACAAGCCTTGGTACTGTGTCAATATCCAAATACGCGGCAGTGGCTAGTGCAGCTCCGGTTGCAGCCATAAACTGTCGTCGTCGTCTAGCAGATGCCCTTCTTTGGTGCTCGTCATTTGCATGCCCGGATCCTTCTTCCTGGATCTTGAAAGCTTCACGGTTTAACCTACTTTGGTAATATCATATAAAGATTACAACATAATCCAATAATGTCTCTATGATGATAAAGTGGGGTCAAGCATGCATGAAATGCTAGTAATAAAAATGGGGAAATAAAATGAGGGACAATCACTTTCCATTGCATAAACAGAAATCCGGGGTACACAGTCTTATACTCAAATTAAAATAATAGTATAGTCTCATACGAAATAAGAGTAACGAAAACACACAAATGAACACTAACAAGTTAATTAGAAAACTCAAATCCAGGGTTTTACATCTCAACCCATCACAACAGAATGAAACACTCAAACGAAGACTAACGAAATCACTAATCCGTGGTCAACTATAAGGGGAAAATAGACCATCTCATACTACATCAGGCGGAGAAATAAGCAAGTGACCATGCAGTTTAAGGAGTCGGTGGACGGCTGTAGGGGTTAGGTGGCTCATTGAAAGAGTTCGGGGGCTGTCCAAAGGGGGTATGTTGCTAGTTGTAGAGGTTTGGGGGCTAATGGAAGGAGTTTGGGGGGTGTCCAAAAGGGGTATATTGTTGGATATAAGGATTAGGTACTTGCGAGAAGTTTGGAGGTAGCTAGCAATAAGGATTACGAACATTAGGGGGTTGGGGCACTTGAACAAACGTTTCTAAGAATGCTCTCCTCGACGAATCATCAAGATCTTGCCAAATTGGACGCCATGCGGCGTCCTTAGCTATTTTATCATACGCAAGGACACGTGTACACGGATCAAGTCCCATTTCTACCAGCGACGCTATTATCATACTTGCTTCACTTCTTCCAGTGACTGTGTTGTTACTCCGAAGGCTCTCTTTGGTTGATCGAATATCTTCCCGCAAATCATTGTGCATGTCCATCACCGCTTCAAGCAACTCCTCTCGGGGGAACACTATCCACATGCTCTTGTTCCATGGTGGGGTTGTATGATCTTGCACCAGTAGCAACAACTCGACTGAGGAAAATGGCAGCCACGTGCATGTCGTTCATCTTCCAACCGTTATTGAAAATTGTGTTTACTTCACGGTTTCTCTAGCAAAATTTTAAACGAAATTGTGAGTTTCTCAAACTTATTACAGAACTAATGTAATTAGTCATAGTTTTGAATGAGGGTCCACTAATGAATCACACAGTATACCTTAGAAAGATCTTTCCGCAAATCCTTCGAGCATGTGAACGTTTTGTTGATAGAATCCCACCTAACTCCTTTATGGTTTTGCAACATTTTGAACGTTGCGTAGACCTTACTAAGTCAACGGCATTTCTCCTTAAGG